ACCAAGATATCATCAATGAACACTACTACAAACTAGTCAAGGCATGGTCTAAAGATCTTATTCATTAGGCTCATGAATACCGCCGGTGCATTGGTTAGTCCGAAGGGCATTACTACAAACTCATAGTGGCCATATCTAGTACGAAAGGTAGTTTTTGGTATATCCTCCTCCTTGATTCATAGTTGAAGGTAACCTGACCTGAGATCGATCTTTGAATAGCACCTTGAGCCTCTAAGTTGGTTAAAAAGGTCATCAATCCTTGGGAGTGGGTATCGATTCTTAATCGTGACTCGATTGAGTTGACAATAATCGATGCATAGCCTCAACGATCCATCCTTCTTTTTAGCAAACAACACGGGTGCTCCCCATGGCGAAGTACTTGGCCTAATGAATCCTTTCTCGAGCAATTCCTGTAGCTGTGTTTTCAATTCTCGTAGTTCTGCTGGTGCCATAGGATATGGAGCCATGGATATCGGGGTAGTTTCAGGCTGTAGCTCGATGTTAAAGTCTACTCTCCGGGTTGGCGGTAATCCTGGTAATTCCGTAGGAAATATATCTGCATAATCACATACTACGCGCGGAAGTTCTATTTCGCCTTGGCCTGCCTTGTTTAGAATTAGGCTTGCTATCCTACCTGCAAGTTGATCGTGCCACTGCGTCCGATGTTTTGTTGAAGCCATGGGGTCTTGTCTATCCTCCTTAAACTGGAAACGTGTTCCATCTTGCGTATGAGCTACCACTTTCCTCTGACGACATTCGATCACTGCTTGGTGGGCAGACAACCAGTCCATGCCCAAAATGATATCGAAGTCTGACATTTCCATGACACGAAGGTTGCAAGTTAAGTGTAGGTTCGACATTCCTATTTTACAGTCCTTACAGATCAATCTTATCTGAACGCATCCTCCCATAGGTGACATTACATCTAAGGCAGTTTCTAAGGGTTCTCCTACCAGTTCTAATGATTTAGCACAAGCAGAGGATATAAAAGAATGTGATGCACCAATATCAATAAAACATGCACCCAAGAATTGTATAGCACTAAATTACCCTCAATTACAGACGGGCTTGCAAGGCAAAGACTCTGCCGGTTGCCTTTTGGTTGCTCCTTTCTGGACCCTCATGAAGTTGGGTTTTCTTTCCACAAGCTCCAAATCCTCTTGGATTCTACCTCATTTCATTCTGAAGTCAATGTTGTGTTGATTATTTCCACAAAGATGGTAAGACTCCTCCAAAATTTGATTCTTGATAGGGTTCAGGATTTTAGCCACGGTTACTAGTCCATTCTTAAGGTTTCGATTTCCTGGTACCGCATTTCTATTGTTGCTTGCAAGCTCATGTTATTACTTGTCTCGAAGTATGGTCCACCATTTGTTGTTCTTTGAATGGGGTGAGGCGTAAGTCAAATTCTAACTACAGAGGCAATTCCTTATGGGCAAGCAACTAATCTTAAGTTAGAGTTTAATTATCCTAGGCTGTTCACATAGCACAACTTCATATATACATAATAATAATTACAGGATTCCTAAAATTGGATTGAAGTGGAGACGAAGAATACGAAGCAATTATGGTGATAATATCAGGATTAACTGAAATATGGATGAATGGTATGATGTTATGGTTTCGAACTTCAATGTGATCAAGGTTATAGGTGTAGTGACTAAACTAGATATTTAACTTGAAACTGCGTTGGCCATTCGCATTTCAAACTGAATATCCAAGATTCATCACCGAGTAAAGAAAATGAAATTATTTACAAGAAGTCTTGGGCTAAATAAAATAATCAAGGGTCAAAAGAGGTTGAATTTACAAATAGTAGTATATAAAACAGGACCAAATGGACAAGACTTAATTTTGGAAAAGGATGACATTGAATAAAGGTTATGAATACAAGATAAGGGTATGACAATCGATAGAAGATGCGTAGAACTAATAGTACCCCCTACTGCACGATGTGAGGCCTCACTCAAAGTCAAAACCATTTCACGATCCTGAAGTAGGTCCTCATGAGTTGATGTTGGCGTGCCCGAAATTCGAAGAAATTCCCTAAGATAGGTCAAGAAAGATTCTAACATAGTCAGGGCAAGGTAGTCTCTAACCGTAGGTCGAAACGCGTGGATAAGGGTTGAACCTATGCTCTGATACCAAGTTGTGACGCCCCAGTTCTACACCATTGGTTGCAGTCAAGGGAGACTCACTAATGAGTCCTATGGTCAATAACCAGTAAGATCCCAGATCGCCGGAGGAGTCAGATTAGCCTCTGTTCTAAGTCCAGCTTTCTTGGGCAGCGCACTACCCTTTTGACAGATCTTAAAAGGTATTGACACAAGGTCTCATAAGTAACGATAAGGTTCACATGTAGAATATAAATACATAACAACCACAATATATATATATATATATATATTCTTAATTCAAAAGATGGTTTCATTACATTACATCCCAAAAGATAGCTTAAATCTTCAAATGGGTCTTACAAAATAACAAAAGGAAATTTCTAGCCTTCCTAAGATAGCCAAAAGTCTTCGAAGGTTTCCGTCTCGTCGTCTCCCGCTATAAGTTCCGCTTCATCACCTGGCATGATACGCCGTGAGCTTTGAATGCACAATAAACACACACACACCCCACCCCTTTTTTTCAGTCCAATACACAATCACAATTATAACATCAAGTAGTAAAGCATGATACTCAAATAAATAAATAAAGGGTTAGGTCAGATGTTAGTAAACTAGAAATCCCCCAAAGAAATTTCGTCCTCCCAACCACAAGAATCGAACGCGGATTATTCGGTGTGCCCCCTCTTTTGCTGCTTTGTTGCAGACCTAACCTCGGATGCCTACCAACGGTTATGTACTGTGTAGTGCCAACTGCAGGGCCTTAAAAGAGACGGTAAAATAGGGCCTTGCCCAAATCCCTCCTCACATCAAACCACCTAGGGTCCGAATACAACCGCTCCGTTCAAAGGTTCCGAAAACCACTTACGCAAGACTTTAACTTTGAAATAGGGAACGCATCCCAACAATCCATATATCACATTTCTCATCTTTTCATTACTCAAGTGCGCGAAAACCCAATATCCTCCCAATTAGGTTTCTCGTTAAATTAAATGCATTAAATCAAGTTAATTCAACTTGCAAGACAATAATATCCACATAGGCATGCATCCATAAAGCGAGGAAGATAAACAACATAACCATAATACACATAATAACATGCCAAGATATGCTCATATGTAAGTAGGCAATTTCATGAATTCAAGGGCATAAAACATCCATGCATAACACAGTTTCCAAATTTAACATCACATGAAGATTGAAATAAAAGGGCTATTTTAGATATTCCACCAGACTCGGTCTCCCTATGGTTCGTAGAGAACTTGATCTAGTTTCTAGAACACTTTTCAGAAATGGGATTGGTTTTCCAGATTTTAATTTATTTAGAAAATATTCCAACGCTGTCCAGAATCTGTCTAGATCCTTCGATCGTTACGAAAATTTGATTTTCTTGCAAACCGTTTGATGTTTTTCGATGAAACCAATTTTAGTTGAAAGCTAACATCTTAAGGAAGGTTTTGATATAAAATATAGGTCCAGAATAATTTTGTACATTTTTCTAGAATTCCTGGAAGTGGGCTGCAAAAACATATTCTAAGGTGCTTTGCCAAAAACAAGAAGATTTATGAAAAAGTGGTTCCACCAAGGGAAAGTTTCATTTCTTTTGTGAACAAAATATGCTAACTATCACATGTTTAACTCAGAATTTTTTTTTTAAAGAGCGCTCTTGAAAAGTTGAGAGATTGGTACAAAAAGAAGATGATTTTGTGCCAAAATGGAGAAAATACAAGAGAGATGGAATCAATACTCCATCCTTAGCATTTTTAACATAAGAACTTAGTAATAACAGATCTGAAAACATTATTTAGAACTTTTAGAAACATGTATTAGAAAAAGAAAAATGAAGGAGAAGGTTGTGTTTGTGACTTACCTACTAAGCTTTGCACAAGAAAGCTTTTTTCTTCCCCATTCTTCTCCTCTAGACTTCTCCCTCTTGCTCTCCTCCTTCTCTCTAACCGAAATGTGTGTGTGAGTGAGTGTGTTGTGTGTGTTTGCAAGCTAGGGGGTGTGTTGGTATTTATAGACAAACCTTTGAGGCAAAAAGTCCTAAAAGCCCCTTAGTTGGATATGGATGGAAAAGTTAAGATTTTGTTGGAATCTAATGGAATAGGGGTGGTTTTGCAGTTGAACCATAGGATTGTGCAACAATTGGTTGATTCTTAGTTGAAAGGAAACTAGTTTTGGAATTAGCACCCTAGGTCTAGGTACTAGGTTGGTGGTTTTTCCTAGAAGTTCATGATAATGTTTCTTGAAAATTGATTTCTCACTTTCTTCTAGGAAGGATAGGCATAGGGAAGGGTGAAGGGAAAATTTTTAATTATTTTATGTCCTAGGCACATTCCTCAAGGTGTATACATATATATATAACAAGATTGATGGTACGTCAAGGTACAAGGTACAAGTACTAGTTTTTGGGGGCAAGTTTTGAATTTAAATAAAGAGTGAGGGCTTGGAGTTAAATATATATAACTTACGTAGAATTAAATTAGGTTAGGGATCCTAATCCGGCTAGGGAAATTCCTGTTTCGATAAAAATAAAAATAGTAATGCTAACCGACAAGATTCGAATTAATTCAAGTAAACAAAGGGCTTTAAGAAAATAATTCAAACATTAGGGTTTTCAAAGTGAATACATATTTCAGGGGCTTCATAGCGTAACAGGCCGTTACAGTCGTTACGACCGCTATAGCAACCGTTACTAGGAATGGCAACGGGGCGGGGCAAGGCGGGGCCGGGGATCGCACTCCCCGTCCCCGATCCCCGATGCCCGAATTTTCCCCGGCCCCGGCCCCGATCCCCGACAGGGACTCATAGCCCGGTCCCATCCCCGCCCCCGATCGGGGATCGGGGATCCCCGACCTCGAAAAATCCCCGATTTTTTTTTTAATCTATAAAAATCTATAAACATAGATTAAAATATATTTGAGACAATGAAGACAATTAATATGGATTAAAATATATTTGTAAACCTGTAGCATTGCCATACAAAATAACCTGCAGCAATTTTAAAATATATTTGTCCAGCAGCATATATACAATCTGTACACCTGTAGCATTGCAATATATACAATCTGTCCAGCAGCATCTGTACATGTTTAAAAAATCCTATCACACACAACTTTCATCCTATCACAAAGAACTTAAAAAATTCAACATAATCTACCAATATATACAATCTGTCCAGCAACCCACACACACAAGAAAATTCAACAAGTAGCAAAGAAAATAATTAATCCCAAGCACAACCCGCAAGGGATAGGTTACCCAAAAATTGAAATTACAAAAAATATATATATATGTCCATTACAACATAAAAAATCAAATCCATTGTTGGCACAATATCCACAGAGAGAGAGAGAGAGAGAGAAAAAAAAGATTTTAAATAACTTCTTTGCACAATTGACAATTCACAAGCTATGATTAGAAGAAAGAGGAATGAAGTCTGCTAAAACATGTCACACCCCTGCAGCAGCTTATGGTTGTCACCAACAATAAGAAGCCGTTGATTTACACCTAAGAAGAATACACACGACAATTTGCAATACAAATTCGTTTTGTTGCTACAATGACATGAACCCGGTCACAATGTTCAACTCTTACAGCCTGTAGAGGGGGAAAAAAACATATATAGAATAGAGGATAATTGCATGGCCAAAAAGTTGCCTCATAGAACCAAGTAAGCTAATGTCAAAACAGAGTGATATTAAGAATGCATAATGAAATGTAAAACGTAAAATAATTTAGCATACCTGTTCTCATTCTGCAGACATGGTCATGGCCAAAACTGAAACTACATCTGTTAGTAAATACTGTGTTAAAAGGAAAACGTGTACTCATATTATCAATGGATTTTTTTTTATACTAAGAAAAAGGTTTTAGAATTAAATTTATCAATTTATCTTTTAAATTAGTCCTATTTGATCAACATAGAATGTCACATAAGGGTAAAACTGAATCAATTTCAGAAGTTAGAGAATTATTTGAATTTAAAAGAAGTGAATGATGTAAATCATACATAAATGATCAAACCTTCACAAGCCCTAAAAATGCCATGAGGTGTTGGGAAATAGTCATACAAATTTTTATATACTTTTCTCAAATAAATCTAGCCCTCATGTTGCATTTTTTAAAATACTTTCTAGACACTTTTTCTATAAATATAAAGCTATTGGTTTTTGTTTTTATATTCTCACAACTAGAGAAAGAAGCGGACAAGAAGCCTACAATAAGTTAATAGTTAGCATTAGGACAAGCTGGCATGGACAGCCAGTTTAAAAAAAAAAAAAAAATTAAAAATTAACTTCAACAAAATCATATATTAAAATAATAATAGATGAGTGATCTCATTCTGTCCTCAGCAATTCTAATATAGATCAATCCAACCATCTATTCCTATTTTTTAATTCATTTCATTAATACAATTGTTTAATTTTTTTGCTATGATACCATAGAGATGCCACTCAATTGAATGATGTGGGATAGAGAGAACTGGGGCACAAAGTGTTGGGGACAGAACATCATCATCTACTGAACAATGAACAATGAACATCCAACCATCTAATGAACAATGAACATCATCATCTACACAGAATAAATAAATTTAGAAAAAAAAACAGATCTATATACTCATATTCAGATATATATATATATATATACAGATATATTTATATAAACAGATATATATATATATAATAAATAAATTTAGAAGAAAAAAAAACACACACACACAGGTTGAAGAAACAAATCCATACACTCAGTCTCAGATATACAGATCTAAAATAAACAGATCTATATACTCATATATATATATATATATATGTAAACCCTAGATCCAAATCCCTAGAAAAAGAGAGAGATACCAGCGACGGAGGAGCGTCGGACCGTCGGTGAGGGAGGATCGGAGGATCGCCGGTGGTGAGGAGGGAGGCGCGGCGGTGACAGATGAAAGAGAGAGCGAGAGACCAGTGGCGAGCGAGAGAGAGAGAGGAGCGCCGTGTGTGAGTGAGAGGCTCGGTGTGTGAGGGAGAGACCAGTGGCGATGGCGAGCGAGAGAGAGAGAGAGAGGAGCGCCGTGTGAGTGTGAGTGTGAGGCAGAGGCAGAGGCTGTGTGTGTTTGTGTCTGTGTGTGAAACCCTAAACAAATATATATATCCAGGGACAGAACTGTAATTTCACCTCGGGGATTGAGCGGGGTGGGGCCGGGCCTGGTCTGAAACACCTATCCCCGTCCCCGGCCTGGATACCATCGGGTTTGAATTTTTGAATACCATCCCCAGCCTGTATGGGATATTTTGGGGGCCGGGCCGGGCCGGGGCCGGGTCTGAAACACCTATCCCCGTCCCCGGCCCCGGCCCGGATATCATTGGGGATGAATTTTTGAATACCATCCCCGGCCCGTAGGGGATATTTTTCGGTGAATAACCACTGAATTCGGGGTCGGGGGATCGGGTCACCGTCGGACCGGTTTCAGATTGCCATCTCTAACCGTTACGGCCGATACACTTGTGAATCTCAATCACACTACAAAAGCGGCCGTAACGGGTGACGGTAACTACCACAATCGTTACGTAACGGCATTACGTAATGGTTGCGGCCGCTTTTTAAAACCTTGGTTATTGAGCTTACTTTTGAATCCAATTTTGATAATTCGAATCATTTATATTTTAAGATTTATTGAGTATAACATACCTATAAAAAATCCAAATGATCGGATATCAGAAAATACTTGTTCAAATCATAAAATTAAAAACTATTTTTTAATGAACAATTTTTCAAATACATATTTTTTGATATTTGATCAACATAATTTTTTACAAATATAATATACTAAATAAATTTTAAAATTTAAATAATTTGAATCATTAAAATTGAATCTAAAAATAGTCTCAATAACCTAGCAAATAAGAAGTAAAAAAAGATCTTGATTCCTTGGGAGCTTGTTTATCCAAAGGCGGTTTGGGATAGAATCTAAAGGGAATTACCTTACTGTGGGTTAAGAAGATGTAAAGCGCAAATCAGTGGGAAGTGTTTGAAAATGTCAACAGTATTGACAAGTGAAAAACATATTATAAGGAAATAACCCTTTAAACTCCCAAATCTCTCTCATCTTACAACATACACTGACACACTCACCAAGACACGTCACACACATCACAATTCTGCTCTCTCTCTCTCTCTCTCCCTCTCTAGCATACGCATACATTAATTACATCACCGACCTTACTTGGGTCCGTTGGCGATATGAGTTGATGTTTTGATTTTTTAATTTTTTAGTTATTTTATTTTGAAATTAAAAACTGAGTTTGAAATGAGTTTTTTGATTTATTTAAGAGAAAAAATAAAGAGTATATTTGGTTTGATTTTGAAAGAGTAATTTTTAAAAATTATTTTACGGAGAGAGTTTATAATTTTTTTTGATTTATTTAATTGCGTATTTTCAAATTAGTTTTGGAGTTTGGGAGTTTGGAATGATTTGATATTTTGTTTTAATTGAGTAGATGTGTGTGAGGGAAAAATTGATTGAAAAAGAGAGAAGAGAGAAAAAAAATGGTTGATTGATAGGTAAGAGAAAGAAAGTGATTTTAGAAATTGTTTTGAAAAATTTATAAATCAAACAAATTTTTTTTAAACAAATTCTCCAAATCACTCTACAAACCCAAACCAAACATATCCAAAATAATTATAGTTTGAATGTAACATTTTATCTTATTGAATTAAAAAGTTTATTTTATCTTTTTGTAACTAAAATAGCCCCAACCTCACCCAAACCCAGATGCCAAACGAGTTCTTTATAGAAAAATTAATCAGCATGTTTGATTTCAGTTTTTGAAAATTGAATTTTTTATTTTTCATATATTTTTATTTTTAGTAAATATTTTTTAAATTTGAAGCAATTTTTTTTACTTTTTTTAGATGTACCTTACTTAAATGTATATAAATATTAAAATATTTGTGAAATATATTTTAAAAAATTAATAGATACACAAAAATACAAAAAATGTACTGATTTTTCTTTCTTTTTTTTAATTATATTTTTGGTATTTAGTGAATTTTTAAAGACTTTTTTTTACAAATGTTATACTTTTAAAGTGTATTAATGTTAGGTATGTCTAAAAAAAAATAAAAAAAATTGCTTATAATATTAAAAAAATTCATTGAAACCAAAAAAAATACAGAAAATAAAAAAGTAGAATTTTTTGAAAACTGAAAACTAAAACCAAACAAGCTAATTAGTTCTTCCTGTGACTAGGGGTGAGCATGGTCCGGATTGGGGTAAAACCAGAACCAATCCGTTATTTACGGTTCTTGAAAAATTAGAACCAATTCAATCTGTTTAAATCATGGAACCAATCCTAATCAATCCATTTAAATACGGATTGGATCGGTTTAGGACCACAGATTCATATAATTAAATAACAAAAAAATATATATATAACACTTTAATTTCATAAAAACATAAATATAGCGATATATTAGTTCCACAATAGCAATATGTCTTTCTGTAATAGCGACATACTGTTCTAGAATTTAAACAACCATAAGACAATTGGTTTCACCATAAGTATTTAGACCATTACAAATTAAAACTAAAAACTAACAAACAAAAGTAATAAAAGAGGATATGATGCGAGTTTAGGTTTGAGTTTAGGTTTTATATGGAATAAGAGAAGATACTATGAGGGATGATGTATAATAAAAATATAGTCTATTTGTATACGGTCCGGATCGGTTCCAATCCGAAACCGTGGGGTTCAATCCGGAACCAATCCATGGACTACAGATTTTTAATTCTTCAATCTGGAACCGAATCATGGATTCAAAAAACCAATCCAAACCTATCGGATTGGATTGGACTAATCAGATTACGGATTTCACGGATTCCTTGCTCAGCCCTACCTGTGACACTATGCGGTCATTATTCAAGTTAATCACAAATTTTCATACCCCTTTATGTTTTTCAATTATTTAATACAAAATTATAAGCCTTGCCTCTTTCACTAATCACAATACATATGGAGTATCACGTGATGCTGACCCTAAACTAATCAATAATTTCTTCGCTTTATAACTAAAAAGCAAAATAAATTTATTCTATTTATTTTAATAAAATACATATAATTTTTAATATATAAATTCAATTTTTATAAAATTAATATTATTCAAAAAATATCAATGAAATCTTTAAAATGAGACTAATATTTAACATATTTAATAAAAATTTAAAATAATTCAAAAAATATATAAAAAATTTACATAATTAAAATGTTTTTTATGATTTGAAATTAATATAAATAATAATAGGAGAAAACGTAAAGACTAAAAAAAATAAAAATATTAACTCAAATTTTACCAAAAAGAAAAGAATATTGTAATATTCAAACCACATGAATATTAACTTAAATCACATAAATAAAAAAATAATAAACTATAATAATTAAACCATACAAATAATAATAATTGAACCATACAAATATTATTTTTTATTTTTATTAATTCAAATCATACAATAAAAATAATACAAATTAATACCCAAAAAAAAAAATTCACTAAAAATAACCAAAAAAATAGTCACATATATTTTAGCATTAAAAATAATTTCAAAAAATTAGGACATGAGAAATTCAATTCATCATATTTAGTTGAATTGTCTTCTATTTTTTACAAAAATAAAAACTAGTTTGTAAAAAATATCAATTTCATATGATTCTATCTTTCTTTGAGAAAAAATATTATTTGAAATTAATAAATATTTTTTTATTTTTTCAAATAAAATATAAGTTAGTTTGACAAAAAAAAATTATAAAAATATTACAATCTGTGCAGGGTGCAAGTTCGATCTGTACGAGATGCTAGTTCAATCTGTGCGAGAAGCAAGTTCAAGCTGTGTGGAGTGCAAGTCAAATATATGCGGGGTGCAAGTTGAAGAAATGTATGAACAATGTATGTTATTGAATGAATATTCTTCAGTATGTTGAACCGTACATATATATATACATATCAGCAATGCTAGGTATCATGAAAAACTTTTCATGAAAGTAATCATGAAAGCTTTGTGACCTTTAGATTACACTTAGAATAAAGCACCACACACTAATCAAGGTAATCCAAAGATCATAAATCTTTCATGATCATTTTCATGAAAAAAATTTCATAATTCCTAACTTTTCTCTATACATATATATTAGATACAAGGCATACAAATAATACCCTAACAGTCTAACTTACTAACCACTTCTCTAACAAACTAACTAATTCTATTATTGTGTTTATGATTACATATGGCATAGCCCAGTATATCATCTGGATGACTCTCTCTCGATCATGCCCCTTCAAGCACATGGACGAAGGAGAGACCATGAGCTTGTGTGTCAAATAGGAAAATCTAGTAGTAGACAGAGGTCTTGTGAAGATATTAGGCAACTGGTCTTGTGTAGGAACATACTTGAGAATAATTTTATGAGCTGCAACCTTTTCTCGGATAAAGTGAAAATCAACTTCGATGTGTTTAGAACAACTATGGAACACAAGATTGTTGGCCAAAGAAATGGAAGGCATGTTATCACACCATAAGATAGGTGGACATGGTTGAGAGACGGAAAATTCAGCAAGTAACATTTGAAGCCATATTAATTTAGTAGCAGTATGGGCCAATGAGCGATATTCAGCTTCAATGGATGATCTAGACACAGTTGCTTGCTTCTTCGAAGACCATTGATGAGATTGGTACCCAAATAAACACAATAGGCAGATATAGACCGCCTATCTGTGGGATCTCCAGCCCAATTGGAATCACTATGTAACTTAAAATTACTGGGTGTAAAATGAAGACCATGGGCCAATGTGCCTTTGACATATCAAAGAATGTGTTTAATAGAAGAAAAATGTTCCATAGTAGGAGAGTGCATGAACTGGCAGGCTTGATTGACAGCATAGGAAAGTTCTGGCCTGGTAATAGTAAGATACTGTAGTGCCCCAACAATGCTTTGATAAAGAAATGGTTGGGTACAAGGAAGGGAATCAATGGAATTGGATGGAAGTTTGACAAAAATTGGTGTGGCACAAGGTTTGCAATCCACCATACCAACTTTGACAAGAAGTTTAGTAACATACTTATGTTGGAAAAGAAAATAATGTGAGAAATTTCATGGCAAAATGAGAAAGAGTAGATTTTAAAAATGATGATTAACTTATAGAGAATGTACATGTTATGGAATTGTTGTCTAATTCTTGAAAACATATATATATATATATATAGTGGAAGTTTTGCATAGTAAAGGTGAAGATTATTGTATTATCTCTTGGGATTGTATTATAATTTTACATTGATAAGAGATATGGGTTTGTTAACCACAATGGAAGAGTGTGTGGAGGAGTAAAAATGGATAATTGGATCACAAATAGAAAATTGTGTGGAGGCATCGAAAATGGAAATATTAAAATGCATGGATATATATATATATATATATTGCATTGACACTCCATTATGTTGTTGATAGATATGATTTTAAGTTGCCTTTTTAGCTAATGCGTTGAGACAAGAATTGTTTGTGAAACAAGATCATTTGATTTGCTTTGGGATAAATACATGTGGTAAGTCCGGATAAGAGGTGCCACGTGCCTTCCGGTGAAAGACCGGTAAAGTGGAGTTTTGGGTAGTGCTTGTTAGACCTACTTGTGGACACTAGTCTAGGGATTGCCTAAATCACATTTATAACCCCCTAAAAACTATATTTGAAATTGTTGGAGCTTTATGTTTCAAAATTTACATTGTGCACAAGACTTTCAAAAGATGAGAAAAACACCTTGAGTATGATATGGCATATGCCTTCACCTCATGAAATTGTATAAAATGTATGTACTTTGTTAGATTTTTCTACTGGGCTTTTTGCTCACTATATGGGATCTCGTGCAGGAAAAGATGTGGTAATTTCGCCAAACTAAAGGCGTGGAATGTGTTTTGAGAGTACAAGGCTCTTACCTTTTTGCTGCAATTATTTTGAATAAGCCAAGGGTTTTATATATGCGGGTTTAAAAACCACTTTTGTATAACTAGGCTTAAGCCTTGGAATTTGTAGCCCTTGAGAGCATTAATTTACACTTGACTCATATTACCACATGCTATAGATTCATATTATATGAATGTTGAATGTATACTCGTATGTGGAACTTTTGTAAATCTATTAAAGTCTTAATGAATATACATGCTTGCGATTTAATGTTAACGTAATGGGTGAAATAGTATTATCTATCTATATATATATATATATATATATCCATGTGTGTTATGGAAATGATTGCTTTGGAAATCAAGATCCTGATAGTGGGTAATCTTGTGCGCTTCTTACGTAAATATTTTGGGGGCGTTACAAAAGTCAACCCCTTGTTGCTGATGAAACCCCTTTGCAACTAACCTGGATTTGTGTCTAGCCACTGTCCCATCTGAGTTCTTTTTTTATCTTAAACACCCACTTGTAGCCAATAGATTGTTTAGAGGATGGAAGAGGTACAAGAGACCATGTTCCTTGTTACTGCAAGGTAGAGTACTCATCCAACATGGCTTGAAACCAAATAGGTGACTCAAAGTAAGTTTGTAAAAGGTTGGCTCAGTGGAAGAATCTGCAGAAGAAGCACTACAACAAAAAACACATTTGGCGACCCAAAAATTGGTCGCGAAAAGTACAAATTTCATCACCAAAAGAATCGGCGACAAGTTTACAATTGGTCGCCAAAGGCCTGTCACTAAAAGTATTGGCGATGAAATCAGAAATTGTCACCGTATGCAGACATTTAGCGACAAGCAAAATTGGTCGCCAAAAATCATATATTTTTTCGCTATAAAATTACAATTTGTCGTTAAAAAGTTAAAATTCGGATAGGCTATGTAGATTTAGCAACAAATAAATGCGCCGCCAAAAGTACTATTTAACGACAAAATTAATTTGGTCGCTAAAAATCACATTTTTAGCGACGAGTAAGTTTTGGTTGCTAAAAGTTCTTTGAATAACCACTAACTTTTAGCAACAAAAACAATATGTTGTCGCCAAATATATTAACAGCGACCAAAATACCACCTGTCACTAAAAATTCATTTTAGTAATTAATTTTTAAGATGCACCTTATCTAAATTTACTCAAAAATAAAATATTTGTAAAGAAATTTTAAAAAAAAAATTAATAAAAACCAAAAAAATATGAAATTTTACTCTCTTTTTTTGTATTTAATAAGGCTTCGTTTGGGGCATGGGGTTGGCTAATTTAGCCCATAAAAAGACAAAAGAGGTTACAAAGCCAAAAGAAGACAATGTCACGTACAAATCATAATTATTTTATTTTTTTCTCTTACAATCATCACATTCAAACCAAAAAAATCAAAAATTTATTCCAAATAGAATTTTTTTAGTTAGGCTAAAATTTTTATAAAAAAAAAAAAAACCAAAAAAAAAAAAAAAAAAAAAATTAAATTGAAAAAAAAAAAAAAAAAAAACAAAAACCTCGATATAAATTTCACAATTTTGATTTTAATTTTGTAATGAGAAGGCCAATCGGGTGCTGTTTGCTCATGCAAGTTTGCTCATACAAGTCTATTTAGGCTTGAACAAGCTGCCCGTGCCAAGTTTCAGTGGTCATTTTGCAATTTCGGCCCTCGAACGGCCTTTTACGTCTTGTGCTTTACATTTTTTCTTGTAATTTTCTAACCGGAAATCCAATCAAGATCCCATTTGTTCCTACAAGTCTATTTAGGTTTTAACAAGCTGTCCGTGCCAAGTTTTGGTGGTCATTTCGCAATTTCGGCCCCCGAATGAGCCTTTTAAGTCTTGTGTTTTACAATTTTGCTTCTAATTTTCTAACCGGAGAACTAATAGAGGTCCCGTTTGTTCCTACAAGTCTATTTAGGCTTGAAAAGGCTATCCGTGCCACGTTTCGGTGGTTTCGGTGGTCATTTCGAAATTTCGGCCCCCGAACGGGCCTTTTAAGTCTTGTGTTTTACAATTTTTCTTGTAATTTTCTAATCGGAAATCCAATCGAGGTCCCGTTTATTCCTGCAAGTCTATCTAGGTTTGAACAAGCTGTTCGTGCCAAGTTTCGGTGGTTTCAGTGGTCATTTCGCAATTTCGGCCCCCGAATGGGCCTTTTAAGTCTTGTGTTTTACAATTTTCTTTCTAATTTTCTAACTGGAGATTCAATAGAGGTCCCGTTTGTTCTTACAAGTCTATTTAGGCTTGAAAAAGCTATCCGTGCCACGTTTTGGTGGTTTCTGTGGTTTCGAAATTTCGGCCCCTGAACGGGCCTTTTAAGTCTCGTGTTTTACATTTTTCCTTTTAATTTTTTAACCGGAGATCCAATCGAGGTCTTGTTTGTTCGTACAAGTCTATTTAGGCTTGAACAAGCTGTCCGTGCCAAGTTTCGGTGGTCATTTTGCAATTTCGGCTCCTGAACGGGCCTTTTAAGTCTTGTGTTTTACAATTTTTCTTCTAATTTTCTAACCGGAGATCCAATCGAGGTCCCGTTTGTTCCTAAAAGTCTATTTGGGTTTGAACAAGCTGTCTGTGCCAAGTTTCGGTGGTTTTGGTGGTATATTGATATATTAAGCACTAATGAAAAAGGACAGGCATCACATACCCTTCAATCAACTTCTCAAGTTGTGGCTGAAGCTCATTGTCTCTTAGCTCCTCAATTTTCTTTGATATTGAGTTAATTCTGTGAATTGCAACTCTGATTCTTGAGTGCAAGTCCTTCACAACAGCTCGAGTTTTATCAACCTTCTTGGAACTTTCTCCCTTCGATTCTAGTTGTCTAAAGAGTCTACATTTAAAGTCATACTCTTTTCTGACAAGCTCACTAGCCTGAAATTTCAAAATTATTTCAGGATATGTCAAAAATTAGGGGTCTCACATATAATAGAACATTTTCAAGCTACTTGATAACTGAAAAACTGAAGATAAAGCTCAAGTAACAGCTGTCAGTCAATATAATCGCATCTACAGATATTGATTACATTGCTGGTGCATAATTGAACAAAAACATAAAATCGCAAATACAACTTCTTTTCTTTTCTTTTTTTATCAGCACAAATACAACTTATGTATACAGAAGGTACATAGAAAATGAAATAGTCATGGAAACGCATTAAAGAAGGTAACATATAATATCAATGGAATTTCAAAGTATTGAAACTTAAAAATAAAATTTAAAATAAAAAGTCATTGAACACCAAGACCAATTATGAATGAAACTCAATGCCACTAGTGTGGCAATACTAAATCTAGGGCTGGGTTATCGGAAGTGTTATTTTGGGAGCTTCAATTTCCACACACAACTTTCTCTAAGTTCACGCACCATTTTTCATTCAGAGGTTGATTTCCAAACAAAATTACATGGTTCAGAAATAAACTTTAGAACGAAAACCAATGGTTCAAAAATCACCCTTTGAACCAAAGATACGACCGAATCATGAAGGTTTCATTCAGAAGTTCATTTTTGTGTCATAAAGTTTTGTTCAAAAGTTGACATCCGAACCAAAAGAGTGTGTTAATTGAGATAACGTGGTGTGTGGAAATAGAAGCTCCCTGTTATTTCAAGTATACTCACGCCCATGACATTGCCACCAAACTCCACATGTTACCTGGTAAATCAATTATAAGCTGGAAGCCACTGCACGGAAACCGTATTCAGACATCATAGGATTCAAAGGTTGAGGTTGACTTAACTACCTAGTGAGTGTCAACATATAGACTATGCACCCTAAACTATAGTTTTGTTTTTTAAATCTTCTCATGATGGAAATGATTTTTCGTTAGTTAGGATCAAAAAATTTCAAGTGTAATAACGATTTCCCAAATAAAACACTTAAAATTGTAAAAATAAGAAGAAAAGACCATCAAAATGGCACTTACAACGATGTAGCAATACACATCATTTATCTTTGCTGCAGAAACACAAAGTTGGGATATGGACCTGGAAAGTTAAAGACGTTTCTACAAGATAATTATTTTAAGGTGATGAACAAGGACATGGTGTTAGACAGACACATTAGCATATATACACATACATATAGACTCATAGATAGAGTGCTGAAGAGAGTCTGAAAATTGAAAATTATTTAAAATGCATTGTGAATTTGTGATCCAAGTGTGACAAACATTCGTCCATTGTGTTTTTGAGAAGTGTTAGTTTATGGACATGGCTCCTACTAAGAAGTGTTTGTGGTTCCTTAAGCCAAATCATTTTATTTTTTGTTGTCACTTTTATCCAAAAACCACACTCCCAGTTAACAAAAACTGCTATGCTTGTCTCAAAGTTCTGGCATGGTTTTTGGTACCAATATTGCTCCTAATATGATAACCCTTGATATGACTTGCATATTAGCTGAAGGGAAACATCTGCAATTTAGTATAAGGAACTTGGAAATCATGCATAGGAATGAATAATTCTACTGATAATTAGTCAGTTCATAATATATTACAAATTAGTACAAACCAAAGTTAAATGACACTCAAAAAAATAAAAAAATAAAAAAAATAAATAAAGCAATTTTATTTACTTTATCCGCTTTTTATATTATGTGAACCTCAAGAATCGTTGGTTTTACAGGTGACACATATTGGTATCTGCCAATAACAGTGGGTTCTTCATACACCACATATGAGCATGGTGATCAAGCCTCAGAACACAAATCTGTAAAATTTGAAGGATGATTGCATCTTCATGTTCATAATGTAAGGTCATACAGCTTGAAACATAAAAGGGTTCCACTAAATGTTTGAAAGCATGCTGACTCAAGTGTTCAGTTAACTCAATTCAGTTTGACTTGAACAATGAGCAGAGTGGATAGGTGAAATTATAGAATTTATGAAAAACAAATAATTCCATATCTTTAGCTCCAACCTAGTTGAACAAATTAAGATCTAGAAATTTTGAAGCGAAGTAGGAAAAACAGGACCCAAATTTTTTTTTTCCTCTTAAAATGAGTACATTTATAAGATGAGTAAAAGACAATTTTTAACAGAAGTATGTCCCGATAAAGCATCATGAAGATTCCTTATAAAGTAATCATGGTAATCTAATGGCAATGACATGAAAGTACCTCCCATCAAGATGAATTCAACCTACAAAATGAACAGTCATTTATAACTAGTGAACAAGGATTTTTAAATATATATCATCTCATTTTGTACAATTGAAGTAAACATTGAAAAACGTGGAAGATGACAAACCTTATCGACACTGTGGCCCAACCTTTTGAGTTGATTTATCCTGCTTCTAGCTTGAACATACGGGTTATATCTAAAACCAATATTACACAGAGTGATTAACTCATGAAGTATTAACTACAAGATATAGACACTCGTAAACATTTTCGAATAATGATAAACGAACTCTAGTAGATCCAAATTAATGAAAAATGGGGATAAGGTGGAAAACGAATAGGTTATTAGCATTATCTCATAATGCTGATTATAACAGATTCACATTATAACAAAATGGGTGGCATTATTGGAGTAGGCACTTCTGTTTCTCCCTGATATATCAACAAATAGCAGCCACAATACTGAAACCTCCCCTGTTGAATCCCTCACAGGGCATTTATATAAGGCTCAAAAAACATACATTCAAACTCCTTGTCATTGTCAAGAGTCCAAGACCGATTCATTATCACGACTCACGAGTACAATTTGAAAACTTCAAATTTAGGCTAGACAAATTAAGGCCACTACAAATCTTCACTCTCATCCATAATAAAAAGCTGCAGTGCTCAAATCTACAAAATACTTGCACTTAAGTGCAAAGAAAATGCAAATGTTTTTTTTTTATTTTTACATCCCCCCCCTAAAAAAAAATTGCATTTTCATGCAAGTATTACTAAATCCTAATCATCAATTAAAAAGGAAGGTTTTAGTCCAATCTAATGAAAACTGAATGAAAAACTGCGTAGAATTAGAAAAGTATCATGCATAAAATATATCCACAGAAGGAACGGGAGTACTGAAAACCAGCATCAATACCTTAACAAAGGGGACGTGATGACTAAATCACTCCCCTTAAAAAGCCGACTTGATTGGACATGTTTACACAAATTATCAACCTGTTACAGTAGTGCAAAATTTTCTACAACATTAGCCTCAAAATTTTGCTAAGGACTATATATGTAAGCAGTAAGATACTTATTATAAGTTCATCTTTATCCAAATGAGTTTGTGTAATAACATAACATTGATTGTTTTCCCACTTGCTGCCAGCCAAGTGGAGTAAGCTGTGTATCAAAATATTCAGGAGACACGTACGCTTTATAGTTCTTATCTACTTCTACATTGTGAATTCCTTGTGCATGCCTCACCTGGATGTATGGTTTTATAAGATAACAATGACTTGGAAAGCATGAACAATGACTTGTCTAGCCTAAGTTCCTTGTCTTTGCAGAATTAAAATAAAATTCATAACTAAGCATGTACATTCAACACTTAAATACACAGTTTTAGCTTCCAAATAAAATTCGGGTCTTTGAATGTTAAATTTAACAAATATCAATTTTGCAACTTTCGAATAACAAATTCAGCTTCTAATTGATGATTCCTGCAACTCATAAAATTGCTTCAGCACATAAATCTAATTTCCAATAACCATAGGCATTATGTTAACTTCTAAATAAGACAATAAATACAATTTTAGCAGTTATATGATCGGGACTCGAGAGAAAACGAGTAGGACTATGACCAAATAGAAGGTATATAACAATTCTAAGTCAGAAAGAAAAATGCATGAGGCAAACAAGCGAACAACAGATGAAAAAAAAATTAAAGACAAAGATTGCAGTCCCAAAATTAGTCCCAAAAATCAGTCCCCAAATGCATAAGGCAAGCAAGCAAACAACAAATGAAAAAAAAAAAAAAATTGAAGAGAAAGATTGCAGTCCCAAAATCAGTCCCAAAATCTGTCTTCTATATGGATCGCAGTCCCAAAATCAGAATTTCAGAGAGAGAAGAGAAGAGGGTAGCGACCAAAGAGGTGGTCGCGATCAACGCTGTGAGAAAGGGAGATGAAAGGGAAGCACCGTTTGAGGGAATGCCGTCGGTGGCACTCAGTCAGCTGTACGAGAGAGCGAAAGGAAGAGAGAAGAAGAAGAAAAAGTGGCAAGCTTTGTGCTGTGCCATGCCGAACAAGAGAATGAAATTGAAGACAAAGAAGAAAAAGAGGAGGAGGCAGAGGCGGTGTGAGAGAGTGAGAGGGAGAGGGAGAGAGAGAGAGAGAAGAAGAAGAAGAAGATAAGACATACCTCTGTGTCTCTGCGTGTTCTGCCGTGCTGCTTGAGGTTGTGAAGGGAGAGAAAGAGATGAACAATTTAGGTCAATTCTTTGTGTACTCACCTAAAAGGATCAGTCTATGGTTAAAATAAAAATTAAAAAAAAAGGACAGATTCAAAACGATGTGGTTTTGACCTGTTAATTTATTGGCGACGAAATTCATTAGGTTGCCATAAATATTATTCACCTTTCCGCGACTAATTTATTTCTGTCGCCAAAAAGTTCCAATCAGCGACCAAAATTTTCGTCGCCATATATTAATTTGGTCGCGAAAACATTTTTAGCGCCCCTGCGTAGAAATTAATGTTGGCGCCAAACGTTTTGGTGACCAATAATCTTAACTTGTCACCAATAGTTTATTTTTTGGCGACCAACTAGTATATTGTTGCCGATTATATACAATTGGCGACTAATTTCAATTTAGTTGCTAAAAAACGTCGCCAAAAATGCTTTTTGTTGTAGTGAAGTAAAGACACAAAAACATAACGGCTTGGTTTTGGATCTGGTTTTCATAAGATGAATGTTAGTAGAAGAGGGAGGAGGAAGTGGTAAAAAAACTGCAACATAGTGAATAGGTATAAGAGAAAACTGATGCTATAATAACCCGACCCTCTCATATGCTTAAATCCCTCATTAGATGGGTGATTATATGCATATTTATATTTTTGATATGAAATTCCATATTTTAATGTGTGAATTACATGTTTATGGAACTATATCTGTCGGTTATAAAAACATATGTTGAAATTGCGACCTATGGATTAAAATTAGAAGCCTTAGATGCGTGATAACTGGAAATTGACTTTACAGTTACGATGAGCATGATTTTTAGGACATAATATGAAATTTTGTAAAAATTTGATTCGTAATGATTTAATTGACTTTATTTGGTTAATTTTCTTAATTTAGCTCACTTTAGCTAAAAAAGTGATATATACTTAAGTCTTAGTTGAGGCTTAGACCCATCAAAAATAGAAAATACCCTTTGAGAGGATCTTTAGAGAAGGAAATAAGAGAAAAGAGGAGAGGGGAAAGAGAACTCAACTTAGGCTTAGATATTGAAGAATTGAAGAGGGGATTTAAGGAATTTAGCTCAAGGTATGTTTTACTCATCAAGAATACTTTATATCTTTCCCCATATGTTTAGAATCAAGACTTAAAATGAAGCTTTGGAACTTATGAAATTAGGGTTTAAGAGTTATGAACTTGACTAAGCAAATTTCATGAAAGTGAACATGTGGTCTTTACATTTTGTTTGCTTTATGAGTTAATTCCTTCATTTTGAGTTTGATTTGAGTTGGATTATGTGAAATTTCTATTTAATCTCATCTCTTGCATGCCTTGAGTTCATGTGTATATGTGCATATATATGAAAAAGATAAAGTAATGAAGGAAATATGAGGGGTAAGGTTTGATATGCCAAATAAAAGGAAGTTGGTATTTATCTAAGCTTAAGATTCACATGTATTGTGTTCATATGTTATAATTTTGAAGTTGTATTGCTTGATTTGTGCCATAGAAATGCCTTAGTAAACTTGAATTTGTTAGATTTTTCAGACTGCACAAACAGAGCCAGAATCACATGTGTGGGGCTCATGGCCGCACATGCAGGATACACAACTACATGCGCGGAAAACAAGGGAGGCAGAGGTTAGCATTCTGAAATAAAAGGCACGCACGGGGACGCACGTGTGGCAGACCTCTCCACACGTACGGTGAGGGACCTCTGCACGTGCGGGAAGGGGAAAAATTTCTGTTATTTTCTGATAGCCTTTTTGACCTTCTAAACCTGTTAATATATCTTTTATCCCTCCGAAATACTTTAAAATGAATAGAAAGTGAATGAAATGAAAAAATGAGGAAGACAAGAAGTAAAGAAAAGAATGCATCTGATATGTAGGTCACTCGCCGGAAGAAATTATTGCATGACCAGATCACTGTGAGTAATAGTAGTGTAATGATATGTTATACTTTGATATGCTTTGCTTATATGTTAAGAATGCATTGTTTTATGGAAGATGATATCACACTAGATCACAATGGTATATGAATTGGGCCTGACGCCGTTCTGTTATTATTGGGCCTGAGGCCGTTCTGTTATTATTGGGCTCGGGGCCATTTCGAAATGTGTTGATAAAAAGAACAAACATGCATTACGTATATGTAGACACCCCATTTTTTACTGACCTTAAGGCTCAGACGTCATTGATTGAGTGCTTGGTGATGGTGCATGTTGTGCTCGTTCTGAGGTTTCAGAGTTTTGGCTGAGAGCCTTGCCTCCGAGCCTCTGAAATCTTTGTGCTTTGGCTCGGTTTGCGGACTAAGCTTTGTTTTCCCTTCCCGGAGGAAGGGAGTGGTCTTTTAGACCATCTCTCTGTGGTCGTAGACTACTTTTCGTGGTCGTAGGCCACTTTTCCCGTTTAGAGACTAGTTTTCGATTTTTGGAGCCTTCGGCTGCGCGCCTTGTCTCGGGACCGCTTAACATTCTCCATTTGGCGTCATTTTTGAACCACACCTTGTTGCCTCTGCCTAGAGGAACACTGTGGTCCGGGAGACCACTTTTGTGGTTGCATACCACTTTTGGTGCTCGTCAGCTAGTTTTCGGGGCTTTCGACCGCGTGCTTTGCCTCCCGATTTCTCGTCTTGCATCCGCTTTGGTTTGTTTTTGGTACAAACCTTGTTTTCCTTGTTTGGAAGGTGATACAAGGGTGGGAGACCAATATTTCTCCTGGCCGACCACTTTTCCTTTTTCTAGCTAGTTTTCTTGTCAGATAACTGGCTTTCTTGGTCTTTGGACCATCTTTTCTGGTCGACCACCACACCACCACCTTGCATTTAGTGTGTTGACCTCTCCCACCTATGGTCGACTAGTTTTTGCTCTGGTTGACCACCTAAAGTGGTCGGCCGACCACTTTTACTAGCAGGCCGACCACCTTTTTGGAGATATTTTAGGACAGCTGGCACAGCTGGAGAGCATTTGAGCCATCCTCCATACACATGTATGGAGGGATGGCATTCAAGCTTAGCTTCTCCAAGAAGCTTTTGCTTTCCTCTTCTATAAGAGGGAGGCTCCTCCTCCCTCCTCCAGGTTCAGAATTTTGTCCCAAGAGAGTTACATATAGCTTTGTCTCTATATCACTCTTGTTCTTCATTTTTGTGTTCAAAAGTGTAGATTTGTCTTACTTTAACACACAAACACACACTCAAACACCATCCTTTTGCTATTGAGGTGCTTAGGGGCTGATTTTGGTGTTCTTGGGTTGCCTTGAGCTTGAAAAATCTGCTAGGGTTGCAGTTATAAAGAGGGTCTTCAAGGGTGAGCTTTTGACCTTTAAATCCCCCTTTCTTGCTTAAGCTTTTAGCCTATCTTGCATGATGTTTTAAGCTTAGCTCATAACTGATAAAATTTCTTTTTTTTCATGCTTAAAAAGTTTGTTTAAGATCACTTTTATGTTTGGGGTTTTTTACCCACTCTTAGGCCTTGTTTGGCCTTGGTTTTGAGCCTTTTTTGTGAGCTTTGGGACCACCTTGTATTGGCCTTCTCACCACTGAAATCTAGAGAGATTTTAGTGATGGGGATGGTGTTTTAAGGTCCTAAGAAGGGGAGGGTCATCCCCTCTCCTTGCATCTTCCATACATGTCTTAATATGCCTCATGTTTAAGCATCTTTACTAAGTGTATGTAGAGCATATCTTAGCTTGTATTTGTGGTTATTTTGCTGTGGCATACCACTGTTTTTGCTTGCCTTGGTCACTCCATGCATGGTTAATACACTTGTAGTGTAAATC